AGCGTTCAAGCAAACCACTTCTGAAGATGCAAGCTACTCGTGCTTGCGAAACGTCAAGAAGAAATTCTACCGAACGACGGCCTAAAAACCCGAAAAACCCATTAGTTTTATTTTCTATAGCAGTCGCATCTTCCACTCTTTATTCAACTTCCTCGTATGATGGCTTGTTTTAGTAAGCAAAACTTTCAATGCGCTAAAGTACCACTGAAGCAAACATGAGCTCTAAAGCTAAACATTAAACTGTGCACGATGGTAATCAGTAAACTCTTTCGAAGTGTATAATATTCAACACAACCAATTTTTCGCACCATAAAACCTCCACATTACCCATTCCAATACTCACTGAATCTTCCTACTCCCGAGCTTAACATGTTTGGTCTGACTCACTATCCGCTCTTGCGGCGTGCACATCAACGTCACCATTCCATCCTCAGGCAACCTCACGCCCCTCACCGTTGCCATCCTCACCACAACGCACATGTTCCCCTCAATCTGCAAGTTCTTCGAAATTTCCCCCTGCGGCTCCATTCCACTGCTTGTGCATCGCTTTACTCCACATTTCAGCATGTTATTGAAATCATTCAGATCGATCTTGAACCGATTTGCACCAATCGAATTCACACAGTCTTCTGCGGCTTCCTCAACGACTGGAAAATTGGGCAAACTGTTGCTCACCGAGAACATCGCCCGAAAATTCATGCCCTGAACACAGGACATGTTCTCGATCCGAAGATACGGAGGCTGAAGAGTTGGGTTGGGAGCCTGAGCTGGAATTACCACTGTGTCGTCATTGGGGTAGATAGGAGAGGGCCGACCAGGAGGCAAATACCCCAATTGGGGCACCTCGTCGGAAAATATCGGAGGCAGGTAGAGAGGAGGCAGAGGCTGGGGTTCATCCAACTGAACGGGCGGGAGTGGAGGGTGTGGATACATGTAACCTCCCTCTTGAGCTAGAAGCAATCCATCCACCCTTTCAGGGTGGCACACCGAACAGAAAATGAAAAACACCGCGATAGACATCGAGGAAACTACCGAAGTGTCTGCATCTTTGATGGCCAATGAGGGGCCATTTATGGAATACCCATTATCGAGGCACTAAAGAGATTTATACGAAAGACAGTTTATAAGCCTTAAATAATACGAAAATCGTGACCGGCAAAAATGTTCGACCCCAATCATGCATTTAGCGACAAGCAATGGTTTGACTAATACGAGGGATTTGTCGAAATTACCTTAAGATTTGGTGGATTTTGAATGAAAATTTACTTAACAATTGATCGATATTGCAATTGCGTGATGCAGAAGGTCTTTTGCAATGGGAAAACAGCTGCAAGGTTTAAAAGTTGTCGTCTTTGAGATTTCGTTCGCCAGTCAGCTTTTGATAGATTTCTGGCTGGCATCGCTTTTGTAATCGCTTTTTCTGGATTCCAGTCCAATAAGTGGATATTTTCGGAAATACAAATACAGTTGAGTCCGGATATAACGAACTTGAAAAATGAAGTAAAACTGGTTCGTTATACCCGGAGTTCGCTATAAGCGAATAATAATACAAAAACACGTGGTGTATTTTATTTCGTTATTTTTACATAGAGTAGTAGAAGTTACTAGGTATAACTAAAAAGAACACAAAAAGATAAACAAAATTCAATTTGTACATTTCTGCTGCAAAAATAGATGTTATTTATGTAGTTTTCAAGATCGCAAAAGAACTCCCAGATACGATTAGGAACTTGGCGTGATTGTAGAAAATTCCGAGTTTGACACTTTTTTTATCATTTCATAAATGGTTGGAACAGCATTAGTGTCTACAGTAGAATACGTTTCACCTAAATCGTCATCTTTCTCATTATCGCTTAAAGCTGTAGATGAGGTTACGGAGTCTATAATTTGCTCATCGGTCAACATTTCACTTGTAAGAACGCCATTATCAATGCTCACATATTCGAAGAAATTGAAACCACTCAAATTGGTTTTAACTTGTTCTTCGACAACATTGGGACATCTTCGTCTGTGTCATACTCGTAGTCAGAGTCTTTATACTTTTCTAACCATTCGTCAACTGGAATTTTATCGTCTGGTTCATAATCATTTTCTTTTCTTACAAATCCCCCATGCTTAAAGCAATTTACAATGGTTTTTTGGCTAACTTTTTGCCAAGCTCTATGAATGTAATTGACTGCATCTAAGAGATTTATAGAAAATGTTTAATTTTTATCGATCCCCTCTAACGTTTTCATAAGAAGAATTTTTCACCGGCAGACTCTCCAACAATTTTTCCGCTACTGATATTATGCCTCTTCTTGAAACGCTCTTCCC